TAACGAAGTTTTTTATATTTTCATTTGTTATTTATTTTTTTATTTAATTAACTTTTGATATTTATTTTGTGTGATTAAGGTTTAAGGAAAAAGAATGCTGCACCTAGTTCTGTGAGTTTTGATGATAGTTTGCATAAATCAGCCGCAACTCAAGCTGATATTTTTGGGAGCACAGATGCAATTGTGAAATATGTATTAGAGGGTCACGATCGTGGTGTTAATTGGGCTACATTTCATCCTACCCTTCCTTTAATTGTGTCAGCTGGTGATGATCGTCAGATCAAGTTATGGCGCATGAATGGTATTTTTGTCTTTTCTATGAATTACTTGTAGGCAGCATCAGATAAATTCATTTACTATTTAATATTCTAGATGCCAAGGCTTGGGAAGTCGATACGTGTCGTGGACATTTCAATAATGTATCTGCCGCTTTATTTCATCCTAGACAAGAATTAATAATTTCTGATGCTGAAGACAAAACAATACGCGTTTGGGATATGTCAAAACGAACACTTGTTCAAACTTTTAGGCGAGAGCATGATAGGTTTTGGGTCTTAACGGCTCATCCAGAATTAAATTTGTTTGCAGCTGGTATGTATATCTTTTAATTATTTTGTTATTATAAACTTTTTTACTGATTTTTTTTTAAAAAAAAATTATTCCTACTGTGAAAGGGCATGATAATGGTCTTATTGTGTTCAAACTGGAAAGAGAACGCCCAGCATATGCAGTCCATCAAAATAATCTTTATTATATTAAAGACAAGTATTTGCGCGTTTTTTGACTTTTCAAGTAATTCGGACGTTTCAGTTCTCTCAGTTCGAAAAATTGGAGGACAATATATGCAACCACGATCTTTATCATATAATCCAGCTGAACGTGCTGTTATAGTCACCACGGTTGGTTGTGTGATTTCTATTTTGTAATGATTTATTAATTAATGGAAAGGTTAATTATACTGATATAATATTATTAGACTGCAGACGGTGGTAGTTTTGATTTATTTCATTTACCAAAAGAATTTAGCGGTGAACCACGGGAAGCTAGTGACGGTAAACGTGGTCCAGGGAATTCGGCAATTTTTATTGCTAGAAATCGATTTGCAGTTCTGGATAAAACTCGTCAAGTAAATCTTATTAGATTGTTTTGATTAATGTTAATAATCCTTTGATTAAAGATTTCTATTTTTTTTTTTTTTTTTAATATAGCAAATTGAGATTAGAGATCTTTCTAATGCCACTACAAAATCAGTTAAACCTACAGCAACTGTAAACGAGATATTTAATGCTGGTAGCAGCAATCTTTTGCTTCTTAGCACGCCAACTTCAGTGATCTTATATGATATTCAACAACGTCAAGTCGTTTCTGAGATTAATACACCACCTGTAAAATATGTAGTTTGGTCCTCTGATCATAGTCAGGTAGCGCTTTTAAGTAAACATAGTAAGTAGTTAACATTATTCTAATTTTTATTTAATTATAATATCATTTGATCGAGATATTCAATAATATATGATTTTTGTTATTTAAAAAAGCTATAACTATTGCGAATAAGACTTTAGAAGAAAGTTGTTTAATTCATGAAACGATTAGAATTAAGAGTGGTGCATGGGATGATGCTGGTATATTTGTATATTCCACTCTAAACCACATTAAATATGCGCTTTCGCAGGGGTATGTTACAAATATGATAAATTTTGATAAATTATGATAAATTACAATTTATTTAACTTATTTTGATTCATAAATTATATAATCAATTTTTTTTTTATAGTGATAATGGAATAATTCGTACACTTGATCAACCTGTTTATCTCACTAAAGTGAAAGGAAAAAATGTTCATTGCCTTGACAGGGACGGTAAAACTCGTGTTATCAGCATTGATCCTACGGAATATCGATTTAAGCTTGCTCTTATCAAACGTAATTATGATGAAGTACTTCAAATAATTCGAAGTTCAAATCTAGTCGGACAGGCCATTATTGCATACTTACAGAAAAAAGGATACCCAGAGGTATTATTTCGACTGTATTTATTAATTTTATTTTTCTCATTTAAATTAACGTATTATATATATACGTATGTTAGATTGCATTGCATTTTGTACGTGATGATAAAACTCGGTTTGATCTAGCCATTGAATGTGGAAATATTGAAGTAGCTTTAGAAACTGCCAAAGCAATGGACCGTGAAGATTGTTGGAATACATTGGGTGCTGAGGCATTGCGCCAGGGCAACCATCAGGTTTGTTTCGCTATTTGCATTATGATAATATTTTTTGACACAATTAAGTTATTGGTATTAATTTCAGATTGTAGAAATGGCATATCAAAGAGTAAAAAATTTTGATCGACTTTCATTTATATATTTGGTTACTGGAAATTTGGAAAAATTGAGAAAAATGTTAAAGATCGCAGAATTAAGGAATGATCATATGTCACGGTTTCATAACTCACTTTTCTTGGGTGATGTTGAAGAACGCGTCAGATTGCTAAAAGAAGTTGGACAGTGTATTGAATCGTTACAATTTTTATTATCTTATTTTTATTCATTATTTATTATAGTAGGAGAGTAATAAATCAATTTTTAATCATATCAGTGCCACTTGCATACCTTACCGCGCAAAGTCACGGTCTTGTCGAAGAAGCAGAAGCAATTTTGACTTCTGCCGGGCTTACTGCTGATGATATTACTGATTTGCCCACGAATGGACAATTATTGAAACCCCCAACGCCAATCCTTAAACATCCTGATTCTAATTGGCCGTTGCTAACGGTACAACGTTCATTCTTTGATAGTGCATTTATAACCACTGATAGCAATCCACTTGCTGCACCTCTTTCCTTCGCTGACAACAACGAAGGCCTTGATGATGTTGGAGGTGATTGGGGAGGGGATGATGATCTTGGATTTAACGGTGTAACTGAGAAAGCGGTTGACGATCTACGAATAGATGGAGAAGCACTTGAAGAAGGGTCAGGATGGGATATTGATGCAGATCTTAATGTTCAACTTAATAATGAAATCTCCCAAGAACTTTCTAATGGAACGCATGGAGAATTCGTTCTACCAACTTCAGGCACTAATGAATCTGAGCTTTGGATACATAATTCACCTTTGGCTGCTGACCACGTTGCAGCAGGATCATTTGAGACAGCGATGCAGGTACTATTATTTCGTTGTTATTACCATTCGTTGACATTAAACAAAATCTTTAATAAACTTTTGATTGATGCGTTAATTTAGCTTCTTAATAGACAAGTTGGAGCTGTTAATTTCGAGCCCCTAAAAACCCATTTTTTGAAAACATTCCAAGCAACGCGTACATATTTGTCTTGTAATGTATCACTTCCTCCCCTGGTTTATTATATTCGACGGAACCCTGAAGAAACCGAGACTCGACGAGTTCTGCCAATTCTTCTATATAATTTTCAGAATATTGTTTCATCTCAACTTCAGGAAGCTTATAAGACGACGACACTTGGTAAATTTCAAGATGCAACGATACAATTCCGTAATTTACTTCACTCAATTTTGTTAATTAGTGTGTCTAAAAAGTCAGAAGTAGATGAGGTATATTCAATTTTTTATCATTCCTATTGTTTACTTATTGTTTTACCCACATTAACGAACAAGCATAATGTTTTATAGGTGAATCAGCTTATAGAAGTTTGTCGCGAATATATAGTTGGATTGTCTATGGAACAAATGCGTCGTAAATATCCATTGGATAGTCCAGAAAACACGAAAAGGGCACTTGAATTGGCGGCGTATTTTACCCATTGTCGATTGCAACCAGCTCATTTACAACTAAGTTTACGATCTGCAATGACATTGAATTATAAGGCCAAGAATTGTCTAACAGCGTCCATGTTTGCTAGAAGATTACTAGAATTAGCACCTCCACAACAAGTTGCAACACAGGTATGTGACATTTTAAAAAAGTTTTACAATATATATCTGGTATACTTAATTATTTTTAAATTTCACCAGGCGCGTCAAATACAAACATTATCTGACAAAACTCCACGGGATGAAATTAATTTAGATTACGATCAATATAATCCATTTGTAGTTTGTGGTATTTCATACACACCTATTTACAAGGGTAGTTCTTCTATCGAATGTCCATATTGTCATACATCATACTTACCTGAGCATCAAGGTAAACTCTGTACAGTGTGTGATGTATCACAGATTGGTGCAAATTCCACGGGCCTTAAAATTTTTGTATAAATAAAATTTTTTTAATATTATCTTCATGTACCGTAAAACGCCGGATACAAGATCCGGGTCTGTTACATTTCACCAATTTTGAATCCTAGTTTATAGACCCATGGG